CTTTGCTGTCTGGGACCGAATGTTTGAATAAACTCGTCACAGAACTGTAAACCAATGATATTTGCTGTATAAGGAAGCAATTTGAAGAAGAATTCTGAAAGGTTTGTTGGATTTTGAACATTATCTTCAAATTTTTTGACGGCTTCAATAATATCATTGTAGAAATCTGAATAGTCATTTGTGTCTTGAATGCTTAAGTTTTGTGGGTAATTCTTCATGAATTGTTCGAGTCTCTTGACTGCGTCCTTACGAATATCGCTTTCTTTTATTTCTGGTTCTACCAAATATTCTTCTTCTTCTTCATGAGTAAGTACAATTGGAATTGTACCAGAATTGGAAGTTTGTCTTTGTGTTTGCTGTGTAGTTTGAGAGGTTGAGACATGTGTGTGTTGTTCTGGTGCGTTTGAAGGTTGGTTTGAATTCGAATTTGAGTCTGATTGACCCTGAATTGTATGAGGAAGTTGCTTTGGTATTATAGGAGGTTGTAAGGGTTTTGAGAATGGTGAGACATAAGTTGTAGGAACTTTAACTGCAGAGGTAGTCGACGAATTGTTTGCAATTGTATGAGGAAGTTGCTTTGGTATTATAGGAGGTTGTAAGGGTTTTGAGAATGGTGAGACATAAGTTGTAGGAACTTTAACTGCAGAGGTAGTCGACGAATTGTTTGCAATTGTATGAGGAAGTTGCTTTGGTATTATAGGAGGTTGTAAGGGTTTTGAGAATGGTGAGACATAAGTTGTAGGAACTTTAACTGCAGAGGTAGTCGACGAATTGTTTGCGACACTTTTTCTTCCTTCCATTATGAAAAATAAACTGTTTTTTTCGGACTACTCATAGAAAAGTTTAAAATAAACGGTTTTTACCAACGGAGACCCCCTCTATTTTTTTATTTTATTTAATAGTTACCGTTGGCAAACCGTTCCATCTCAAATATTGAATGAACTATAAACGTTTTTTGTTTTCTATATATACTTTTTTGTCCAACGGTAAAACTTTTTACACAACGGTTTTTGAGAGTCGTCGCCGTTGACTTTTTTGTAGAGCACTCAAAATAGTATAACTTTGTCCGGACAAGTAAGGGTCTATCGTCGCTACAGGAAAAGTTACGGGCGTTCCAAGGAAGTATACTTTGAGAAGCCTTTCCCCCTTATAGAATGAGATAGGACGGTTATTTTACAAAACTGACAACACTTTGACCGAGTAGTTTTTTGTGCTGAACAAAAAGTGTCATATAAACATCTGTCAAAAACCGCTTTTTAACTTCACTTAAAATGCCACGTAAGCTACGTAAGAATATACGTAAGAGGAAGGGAGCATTAAAACATCCAATAGTAAAACTAACACCACAACAACAGTTGCAACAACAAATTATGAATGACCCCACTATGTTGCAACAAATGTCAAGCAACCCTATGCTTTTAAACCGAGTTATTGGTGCACAGAGTGGAGGTTTAAGAGCGGCACTTTTAGCGAAAATGGCAGGCTATGGTGGAGCTGCACGACGGAACAGCTTATAACCCTCAAAGTCAAATGAATTTGAGTTCACTCAAAAATCAAATAACAGATGTCAAAAAGTCAAACATAGACATACAGAAGCAAATAAGTGAAAACGAAAAGAAACTAGAATATGACAGACACACAAAGAAACTCAATGAGTTAAACGTAGAGAAAAAAAGAAAGAAGAACAACTGAAAGAACTAAGTACAGAGGAATATGCGAAAAAAGTGTCAGAAAAAGCAGCAGAAGTAGCAAAAATGGAACAAGATGTTATAAATTTTGAAAAACCATACTACTCAATATAAAGTACTGAAAGATGAAGAAATAAAACAAAAAGCCTGAAGACATATATGGATAGCGATGAGTATAAAAAAGAAGTTGAAGCAAATGTAAAGGCAGAAAAACTTTTACAGTTGCAAAACCAAACCGTACAGTATGAAAACTTAGCACAAGAAAGTAAAAATAACGACGCAGCCATGCAAAAGGCAATGAAAAGTGCAGAATATATAAAAGCTAATAATGACTGGTTAGATGCCCAAGCCAACGCTAAAGCAGCCCAACTTATAGGGTCAATAAGGACAAAAATACAAGCGGATGAAGACAGTTCAAATGAAGCTTTAATGAATGCTGACTTTAAGAACGCCTTCGAAGCTCTTCATAGTAAGGTGAAACTAGTGAACGACTTCTCATCTGGAAAGAAACTAAGTCTGAAGGTTTCGACAACGAGTTAAGAGAAGTAGCACAAAATATGACGAAAATAACAGATGCAGCAACGAGACAGGCAGTTCAAAGTGCCTATGACGCCGTTAGAGCAACTGTTGTGGAAAGTCAAGAAAAAGAGTTACAACAGACCAAAACAGACCTAGTAAATGCTTTCTTAAGAACGAAAAGTCAGGTAGGACATTATGCTGCAGATGGAACATATGTGCCAGCTGGTGGAACTTATATACCAGCAAACCCTCCAAGAGAAGCACCTGCACCAGGACTACCTAAAACATTTACATCGTCACATGGACACAGACACAGGCATGCACCAAAACCAACACAACAACCAACACAACAACCAACAGTTCAAAACACTGCACCACAACCAACAGTTCAAAATACTGCACCACAACCAACAGTTCAAAACACTGCAGCACAACCAACAGTTCAAAACACTGCACCACAACCAACAGTTCAAAACACTACACAGCAACAACCACAAACAGAGCAAGGACATAAAAGAAGTAGAGAACAAGGAAACCAAGAATTCTTAAAAATGCTTAAGGAAAATTATGGTTACCCAGATACTCTTGACTTTAGTGACAGATATAAAGAAGCTATTAGAAAGTTCAAGGAAGGAAATACTGACCCGAACCTATTTAGCTTTATGGTTCAGCACCAAATGGGATATAATTTCAAACCTGGAAAATACAAGCTCGCTAAGGGATATGATTTAATAGCATATCATCCAAATGACATGGATGAATTTACTCCGAGATATTTGGTGTCAGAGATAAATGATAATTCAACTATCTTCATGAAACGCGTAAAAAATAGAGACGGAACGAAAGAAGAAAGGGTTATGAATGCGGATGGCTTAAATAGGGAACTTGTTAAAAACGGTCTCGGAATATATGAAATGCCAGCAGATGAGGTACAAGAAACTCCACAGGAAGAAGTTCAGATACAACCAGACATGGAAGAAATAGTTCAGCAACAACAGCTAGAAGAGCCTGAAGGAAACAAACAAGTCCCTCCTTTGGAAACTAACTTCACAGAACTAGATGAAGATTTGGAACAGCCGAAAAATCTTGACCCTCAACAAGTGTATGAGGAGAATATGGAATCTTTCCAAGAGTCTAAGCAAAATTCGGCTGACATAGTAGAAGAATATCGAAAAATGTTCGCCGACATACAAAAGACTCCAACATCAGATGAAAATATTCAGCATAGAATGGAAGAACTGAAAGAAAGTGTACGCAAATACAACAATCCTTTTTACTTACGACCATATAACGTTCAATTTGGCTGAACTCGGTGAAAATAAAAGGTTAAATTTCACCAAAACATATAGAAATGAAACATTGTTTAAAGTTCATTCAGAACCTAACCAATATGGAAACAAACCTACTTTTGTTTCTGCAGACTATGGAACTACAATGAGATGGGGTCATAAAGCTAATCCGGATAGGTGGTTCATAAACTTACAACCACAATTCCAAGAAGTTGTAGACGCAATGGAAGTGAATGGTGAACCAGATATATCTGGTATTTTCAGCGCGGCTTTAATGCCATTGAAAGATATGAAAGATGCAGATATTTTGGACCAGTATGAAATGAACATGGCTGATGGAAATATAACACCTGACGTTCTAGAACATTTATCTCAAAGAACTACACAGAACCATAGAGATGGTATATTTGGTGAGGAGTTTAGAAAGAAAGTTAGGGAGAGAGAAGGAAGAGAACCTATTGTACATGACCTTGCAAACGAAAGTTTGCAAAATGTCATAAAAACTTACTTTGCAGACAATGAACCGAGAAGGGATGAATATTTAAGAAAACTCAAATGGACAGTACCAAATGAAATGTTAGTATTGAAAAACATGTTCCTTGACAAAATAAAACCAACTACAGAAATAAATGACGCAAGACTGAAACATTGGGTAAAAGCTTTCCCATTCACAAAAGATATTGTTGGTAACATGGAAAGAAAACCAGAATGGCTACAAAAACATATATTTGGAAACGAGCTTATTCCATATGGACAAGCTTTGTTTGAAGAGCTTGAACCGGAAACTCAGGAAAGAGTCATGCAAACAATACGCGAAGACTCAAATACAAACTATGACAAAATCTTTCTAGGATATAGGTTACCTGAGTTGGGCGACCAGAGCCCAAAGGCAAAAAGGACATGGGAAATTTACAAAATACTAGGTGAACATGAGGCAAAGATGCAACAACTTGAAGCAGAGGGCAAGTTACCAAAAGCGACACCAAAGAAGAAGAGTAGAACAAAGTGAAAGTAGTGAAGAAGTAACTTCATCTAGTGAAAGTAGTGGCAATGAAGGAAAAAGAAGAGTTAAAAACTCAGTCAGGAAGAAAGTAAAGCTTGGTCCGAGTGGGTTCTATTATGATATATAAATCCAACTATTCTATATTTTTACCCATATGAAATGTACGCCGCTCAGAATATAACGCCAACAGTTTTGGATGCCATGAACGGAAATGTTTCCGAATGGTATAACGAATGCGACAATGCCATTAGAAGGTCAGAAATAGTTCCTGGAACTTACGAATATACAACTGCTGTTTCTTATGGAAACGTAGGTGAGTTTGGAGAAGGTTCTTCAACAACAGTAGATATTGCTTGCGACAGGTTTCATATTATTTCTATTGACAACTCATTCTTATACGTGGAACAAGACATTGAAATAAAACCTTCTGCCAAGTTGTCTGACAAGAAAGGTTGCAATGGAATTTTCTATGTCGGATACCAATATGCTCCAGAAGTTTTCATGGGATATAAGATATATTCTAACTCTGACTTAGTTCAAACAGTAACATGGGCAAACTATGAATGGTTCGCTTTGAAAAACTCAGTACAACCACAAGCTAGAGAACAAACAGACCAGTATGCAAATATTGAGAAAATAAGAAGACTTGACCCTAACGTTCCAGGAGTTTATGTTAACCTTTCTGGTTCAGATGGAACTGCTGCCACTAAAGTAAAACTGAAACTTAGAGTTCCTTTGTCATCTTTCCTCATCTTCAGGTTTTTAAGATACTTGCCAAACTGGGCAGGAAAAATTTCTATTGAACTTACTCCAAGCAAAAATAACTTAGTCATTGCACCAACACAAGACCCATTCAGCATTACTGTAGCTGGAACTGGTGGAGCCAAGTTCTGTGACTTTTGCAAAGACAAAGTTGACTTAGACTTTGGTTTCTCAAACTTCAACAATGAAGTAAACTATTATTTCAATGCTGCTGGAACTGCTTGGGACCCAGTTAAGTTCACATGCGAAAAATTTGAATGCAAGAGAATAGAAAGCAGACTTGCAGTCTATATGTTGGACCCAGATATTTCAAATGCTTTAGCTGCCAAATATATTGCAGTTCCACTTATGTTCCCTATACACCAAATATCTGTCAAAGACTTTGCAGGTGAAGTTGGAAACCAAAGTGCTGACCCAGGTGCAAGAACAGATATTGCTTTAACAACTGCAATGAAACATGCAGATACTATGTTTGTACTGTTCAGACGAACTATAAATGACTATTCTTGTTTCTACAACCCCGGTATTAAATATCATATAAACATAGATGGCAAATATTATCCAAGAGAAGAATATTCTACAGTTGAGGATATGAGGTCATACAACTTGACATTAGATGCTATGAACTTTAACAACAATTTCACAACAACCATTAACCCTGAAATGCAAAGTTCTATTATGCCATATGTGAAAGTATGGACTCATACAGGAGGTCAAAAAACTCAATATACAAATGGAGACCGTTCAAACTTTTGGCTTGGCATTCCATTTGCTGACTCAGAAGACTTTATGGGTGGTATTTCAACTGTTGGTACAGTTCAAATACAATATACTGGTGACAGAGACGGTCCAGATGAACTGAGAGCAAAGAAGTTTACAAAACCAATAGCACTTTTCACGGAAGATGCTTTTGAAGATTCGTTCGATGAAACCTGCTGGGGCTCCTCAGATTGGCATAACGACAGCTTCCATCGAGCAGATTTTGGCAGCAGGTCAGTAAGTTGTTCTTGAACTGACTTCTCTCCGTCAAATATTGACAGTACGCCAGTTTTGACATAATATTGTAAGATAAACTTACCTTTAGAAATATCTGTAAGTTTTGAAGTTATATTTTTGTCTGCTTCAAGAACTTTCACCATTTCAGTTATACCAACTTTCTTTGCTTTATGGAAATATTTTGGTTCAGCAAATATTGCTATTCTATAACATTTACCATTGTTTGTATAAAGAACTATTCTGTCAATGTATTTGTATTGTTTGTGTGTGTAAACTTTGTTCTGCTTCAATTCGAAGAGATACTCGAATACGTCCATCTTTTTATTCTAAGTAAAATGTCATTTCCGAAAAATAGAAGCGTGAGTGTTTCAAAAGGTTTAATGGCGGTGGCAGATGTGAAGTTAAATTCACCAACTCAAACAAACAGTCAAAGTGTTGTTGTCAATGTCAAAGACAGAGATGTTGAAGTGGGGAAACCATACGAAGACGAAGATGGTATAGCAATTGCTCCTGTAAAAGAACAACCAACATATCCTGAAGTTAGCAGAGACTTAAGTTCTGTTGCAGATATTCGAAACGACTACCAACAACTGAAAGACAAACTTCAAACTCAGGAGAAGATTTGTCAAGCTTTAAGTATAATGTTAAACTTGGTCGAACACAACCCTGTAAAAGTGAACTCATATGTCATTGCACCTCATGAAGTTTTGAAAGAACTATTGAAACTTTTGACAGAGGCAGACGATATAAACATCAAAGAAATAGAACCCGACATTAGTTGCTGTGGTGTTTCATATAATGCCATTGACAAGATATACGTTATGAAAGGAGGTGAAACGTTGAACTTAAAGTATAGTTTCCCAGACGTCATAAAAATATTTGACGACCACAACATTTCATTAAAATTTATTTGCTAAGTAAAAATGTCAAAACTTCTTGAAAGATGTTTGAAGAAAAATAATATAGACTTTATTTCATGTAAAGGACTTTACACACTTTTGAACGATATGAAAGACCCTGTTTTGTTTGTTCGTGTAGACAAAGGAAAGTTCTATGTCTTTACAAAATATTTGAACTTCTTAGACAGAGAACTTCAAGAAACGCCATGTGAAAGTTTAGATGAAGTTCTTCTCCACTTTCAGAAAAACTTTTAAATATATATAAATGGCAGAAGATATAATGGTTTATACTATTACGACTAAAAACCCTGAGTCATATAATTCTATAACAACAAACTTACAAAGTCCTCAAGGACGATATTGTAAACTAACCTTAAACACAATGACGACTAAAGCCTGTTTTGCTCTTTTGACACCAGAAGATTTTATTGTTGTGAATGGTAAAAAATACTCCTTTGAAGATACTTACTCAGATATACCACCAACAGGTTTTGTTGACTTATTTAATACTTTAAGTACGGGTGTAACATGTGCTGCAACTAGAGCAGGTTTCATTATGTTTGGATGTCCGACTGAGTTTACTATAAACGATATGAGCTATAATACAAAACTTATTTCTGGTTTTTACTACCAACAGTTTCCTATAACAGGAAAAGGTGTCATACAAGGAATGTCTATTCCATTGACATTAAGCACACCAATCTTATATATTGTTTCAAACTTAGGTTCAAAGTGTTATTCGAATGTCGACAGAAACTACTATGACCAAAAGATACTTATGCGTATAAACAATACTTTCTCTGCTGGTTTGCCTATTGTTCATTCGAATGCAGAATTTTCAACCTTAGTGAACTCAAACACTTTGGCAAGTATAACGTTGACATTAGTTGACGCAAACTTTGTTCCTGTAAAACTTTTATGTCCTATGTATTTGTCAATGACGGCAGAAAGTTTCGAATTGGAAGATGCAACTGGTGAAAGTATTGTATTACAAGAACAACTTCAACAACAAATAGCTCAAGAACAACAAATGCAACAAATGCAACAACAAAGTCAAGAATAAAAAAAATATTTTTTTTATTTTTATAAAAATGTACAGAATAGATGTTTCAGATTTTTATGACTTCCAAGCATTCAGAAATATGTGTCCATTTAGAGACTATAACAAAGCAGTCGAGAATTTGAAACGTTTAGTCATTTATGTCGACTCTGCCCCAGAATGTTATGTTATGAAAGAATGGGATGTAGTCTTTAACAAACCAAGAGCAACAATAGTGTCTGAACAAGAATGTAGACAGAAACTTAAGAAAATAAAAGTTGTACAAGTTGGCATGAAGATGTTAGATGCTTGGGATATCTTATTGTCAAAGTTAGAAGATTTTTCAGTTCGTGGTATAAAGTTCTATACACCTTCTCCAAACTTCTATTCTATCTTCACTGGATATAAATATGAACAAGTAGAATGGAAAGAAAATATTATAGAAGCTTGGTTAGACCATGTCAAAGAAATTATATGCAATGGAAACGAAAGAGTCTATGAGTATATCTTATGTTGGTTTGCAAACATCTTACAACATCCAAGTGCTAAAAATGAAACTGCTCTCATTATAATTGGAAAACAAGGAACTGGTAAGAATACTTTCTTTACAGATATCTTGTGCAAACTGTTAGAAGGTTATTCGAACCCTAATATGACAAACTTAGAAAACATCTGCGGTAAATTTAACTCCTCAATAGAGAATATGAAACTTATAGTTTGCAATGAACTTCAAAGTATAGATACAACAAAAGTTTTAAACTCAGATGCTTTGAAGAGTCTTATAACAGACAAAGTTGGAGTTGTTGAAAGAAAGTATAAAGACTCAAGAGTTTGTGAAAATGTTGCAAACTTCATTATGGTTTCAAACAATGTTGTTCCGATGAAGTTAGAAAGTTCTGACAGAAGATATGTAGTTGTCAGAACGTCAGATTCTCATATGCAAGATACTGAATATTTTGACGCTTTGTCAGAATGTTTGACATCTGACTTTTACAACCATTTGTTCTCATATTTCATGACATTAGATATTTCTAAGTTCAATCCAAGACAAATTCCACATACCGAAGAGAGACAAACATTGTTAGAAGCAAACAAGAGTGTATATGAACTGTTCATAGATGAAACTGACTTTGAGTGTTTAGATGAAAGGTCATTGTACGATTCGTATAAACAATATTGTCAAGAATATGGTTATATGGCAGCTTCTAAACGTACATTCTTGGCAAATGTCAAAAGTCTTTTAGATGTTCAGAATGGTGTATATACAAAGAAAAATTTTTATGAGTAAATTTAAAAAAAATATTTTTTTTTATCCGATAGAAAAGATGGCAAAATTCATCTCAGTAAACAAGTACATGTCAGGACTTAAAGAAGAACTAGACCCATTCACATATTTGAATGTTTACTTCTACCATTTTGAAAAGTCTTCATTCAGCAAAGTTTGGAACATCGAACCAGTTAAGTTTGCTATTGTGACTAAAAATGGTGCGAAATTTGAAGACTTAGACATAGAAGGTTTGTTAGCAGTCAAAGAAAGTTTTGACAGAAGGTTCTCAAACCTTAAAGAAGGCAAAGCATACAAACTTGTTATACCTTATGAACCAAAGAAGACAGACGACTATGAATATTATGAGTCTAAGATAGTTGAAGTTCAAGGTAAATTGGGTAAAAAGATTTTAGAGTCTAAGCCAGTGTTTGCTCCTAAAGAGGAAGAGAACATTGACATTGACCCAGAAATGTTCTAAAAATAAAATTTTATTTTTACATGTCAAATTTCTTTTTCTCTGGAACTGGTTCAGGTTCTTTCTTCTTTCTTCTACTTTCTTTTCTTTCTTTTCTCTTCTTCTTTTCTGGTGGAGTTATGTCAAATTTCTCAGAACCATATTTATGTAAAAGTTCTTTGTCCTTTAATAGCTCATCTATTCTGTTTTCTATTTCATCTTCAAGAACAGCGCATGTGTCTTCTTTGCATTCTAAGAACTTTTGTTGGACTTCATCTCTCCAAGAGGCGTCATCTCTGTCAACAAGTCTGTCATTGACAAACTTAAAGACTTCTCTGCTTAATGTTTTATGGTTCTTGTCATATTCCCAGAAACAGAACTTTAGAACAAATTCACCTTTCTTGTTTACACTATGTAAGATTTTATGGTCGACAGATGTTTTGCTGTCGAAAAGCTTGTCTCGAATATAGATAGCGAAATCGCTAGACATTTTCTAAAAGATAAAAATTTTAATTTTTCTAAAAATATGTTAGAAAAAAAGTTTGCTGACATTGACAAGAAATTTGAGAATGTTTTAAACAAGAACAAGAGGAAGTTAGAAAATGCTCAGATAAAGCCTATACATGACAAGTTCTTATTTGCTCAGAATGGTATAACAGGTCTAATTGCACCACCTGGGTCGGGTAAGACTTTCACTTATCTTAAAATGGCTGCACAACAACAAGAACTAGATGAGAAAAACCCATTCTATGAGTTAGTTGTCATTTGTAGTACTTCTGGTCAATTTGACCAAACCGTCAATTCGTTCAAAGATATTATAAAGAAGTCTAAGTTAGTATGTATAAAGGATACTGAGTTGTTAGATTGGATAAAGAAGTACCAAAGAAGAGTTTTGAAGTATAATGCTATAAATGAGTATATAAATTCTAAGTTTAAAGACCCAAATGAGGAAATGCAGAGAATATTAGAGAAGAAACACTTCAGAAACAAACAGAAAGAGATAGAATACATTTCGAAGAAATTGCAATCTTACGATTGGAAGACTTACCCTCATAGGTGTCTTCTTATCTTAGATGACTTTGCTTCTCATCCTTTGTTAAAGAACAGAGAACAAGATATGTGTCGAATTCTTAAGAAGCTCAGACACTTTAACATCTCAGTTGTCATTTGTGTACAGACAGCCAAGAGTTTAAGTAAGGATGTTAAAAGAATACTTACTGACATTATACTTTTCCCTGGATTGTCCGAAGACGATTTCATGGAACTTATGAAAGAGTCCATGGCAGGTAAGTTTGACAGACATGAACTATGGGAGAAGTACAAAGTCATACAAGACCCTCATACTTCTTTCAGAATTCATATCTACGCAAACAAAGTTCAAATTGTAAAAAGTCAAGCTTGAAAAATCTAAGTGTTTAGTCTTAGTAAGATGGTAGCTTCTTAAAGCAAATACCATTGCTGAGTTTTATGTACGTGAAGAGAAGTACAATGAATTCAATTACGAGTACAATTGCAATGACAACTAAGGCAACTATTTTTGTCTTTTGCCAGCAAGGGTACTTCTTCTCTTCCAATGGTTCGGCAGAACTATACTCACTCATGAGAAATGTCAAAACGGTTTAATAGAAAAAGTGTCATTTTTCATGTCCGAAGACTCGAAGGTGCAACACTTCCAAAATACCGACGAACTCAGAAGAGCAGCATGGCAGTATCTTCTTGACAACTTTTTTGAGTTCTCCAGGTACACCTTGGAAAATGCTGAAGAACTCCGACACAGAGAATTTGGAGAAATTGCACTCCAATACTACCTTGACAAACAAAGGGTAAACAAAGGGTAAACAAAGGGTAAAATAAGACTAAAAACTTAACGTTTAAAAAGTGACATTTTTAATGAGCTCCGAGTCACCGAGAAAACTTGGTCAGATGTTAGCAGCTTACTTCCCCGAGGAGGATGGAAGCGTTACATACATCAGGTTCAAAAACAACGAACCTGGAATTGCGTACAAAATTCGCAATTACATGACCATGGAAGAGTACGAAAGGTTCCTACAAGAGAAACCAGCTCTAAACAACTCAGAAAAGAAAGAATAAAAAGTTTAACTCGTAATTGTTTATTTTTTTACTTGTATGGGCAAGCTGCAAGAATGAAGTCGACTATCTCAGTCTTTGTTTTGACGAGCTGGACGGCTCTTGCGAGTACGTCTGTTTTGCGGTCTCCAGCTGGTGTCTGACCTTCGTAATTGCGCATGTTCTTGAGAGCTCCAACTGTAAATGGTTGTAGGATGAAGAGTCTCTCAGACTGCTTGAGGTAGTCTTCACGGTCACGAACCGAATCTGTGGTACGAGTCGAATCGGTCGATTTGAGGGAAGAGACTGAAGCCTGTCGTCTTCCATAGGGGCAGTAGCATAATCTTTGCGTAAGCGGTTCAGACCTTCTTCGAACTCTTGGTCTCTCTTGGATTGAGATTGGAATTGTGGGGCAGGGTTTTGCATAAACATCCAAGGGTTGGGGAAGTAAGGCATAGGCTGAGGAGGGTAGTTCGGGAAGCCTTGTGGTGGGTAGTAACCTTGAGGTGGAAATTGGTAGTAAATCGGAGGTACTTGCTGGAACTGAGGTGCAGGGGCTGGTGCTTTAGGTTCCTCTGGTTTGGGAATGGACTCGGTTGGTGGGACGTCGGACATTCGTTTGTGTCCTGTGGGATGGAAAATATTTTTCTGTCGGAAGAAAAAACTTTTTCTGTCGGAAGAAAAAACTTTTTCTGTCGGAAGAAAAAACTTTTCTGTCGGAAGGAAAAACTTTTTCTGAAGTTCGACCAAAAAGTTCTCAATTTTCGAAAATTTGAATGGTTTACGGACGGACAACTGGAAGAGTTCTTCCTGTCGTCGGGAAAATTTTTTCCCTTTGTCCGGAAAATTTTTTCCAGTTGTCGGGAAAATATTTTTCCTGTCGGATGGAAGGACTCGGAATACCAGAAGGATTTGACGAGGCAATTTACCTTATAGAGATAAATGAAGTTGTTAAGCAGTACTTGCGCAGGGTAATGAAGCCCAAGGTCAAGTTCACCGCTATTTCTGGAAGGGCTGCCTTGAAATCTCGAGACTTCGACTGGAATTCCAATTCAAATACCAGAAAAAACTCCTTTCGACGACATAAAGGACGCCAAAAGAGAAACTCTTGTTAAGTTCCTAAACAAACGTCCTTGGATAAAAATACCAAACAAGGAGAACCCCCTACCCCATATGAAATTGGCAATTCAGTCTCTCCTTCACTTCTCGGGTCAGCCGTTCTACATAACCTGTGAAGGCGACATCCAACCAGTTCAGTCAACCTTAACGTTTTGAGTAAAAACATTTTTTTTTCATTTTTTGAATGAAGCAAGTTAAATTCGTCCCACACCAATCTCAATGGACCGATGAAGAGTTTCAAGCCATGGTTGAAGGCGTTGAGAACGACATAGACGGCGAACTTGAAGGAGCTCAAACCACAATTGCAACCAAAATTGCAGAGGTCAAGGAACAGATAGCTCCACTTAAAGCTACCAAAGCTACTCTTGACCTCATGGATAGTTACCGTTTAGATGTCAAGAGTGGAATAAGACAATTAAAATTAAAACTTCTAAACTACGAAGCTATACTCCAAAAGTTAGCAGAAATGAGAAGACTTTACCAGAGCTACTTACATGTAAGGGACTTACCTTCAAGCAGTCCGACCAAAGATGAATTTGTTGACATTGTCCCAATTTTGTCCGAAAGTCAGCTCAGATGTTTTGAACTGCTCCCAACATATCCAGAATATGAACGTTTGCCTGAACTCTTCCGCAATCTCAAAAAAACGTTTTTTGGTTCTCATGTTCCAAACTTTTATCGGAAGAGACAACAAACGTTCAGAAGAAGAACAAGATATTATTTTAAACTTGTTGTATGACATAACTGTCATAACAAGCTTTTTGAAGTAAAACCGCCATTCTCAAACCACTTCATTTTTCGATGTCCGAACAAGCACCGAAGCCGAACACAATAGCAGATGTCCTTTCAAGGTTGCCAGACAAGCGCCCAGTTCAAATTCAAATTGCCCAATTGAAAGCTCATCTGACAAACACCATTAAGACTCTCCAAAGTAGTCTTATGACAGAGATGACCAATCTCAAAGCCGATGTCCTCATGAACCAAGCTTCCAATGAGAAATGCCTGAACGATTTCACGGAAACCTTGCGCAATTACGAGAGAGAAACCGAGACCTTGCCAGACTCATATACCGTTTCTTCGAAGAGATAGACGCCATCTGGAAGGTACTCGGAAAGGACAGAACATGCAACACCGTACTTCGTGAGTACCAAATTGAAGAAGGAATTGTCGAGGAAGAAGAGGAAGAAGAGGAAGAAGAGGAAGAAGAGAAACACGAAGAAAGTTCCTGAAGCCGCTACATGGCAACCCTTGTTGCCGATGACGGTTACGAAATTTCCCAACCCTACCCATACCAAATCCGCAACAGGCGACAGGCAAGGTTCTTACCCCAGTCCTCAACAACTTGGGACACTTGAACCTTAACCTTCGGAATCGCGGTTCAATCTCCATGGGCAAGCTTGTCGCAATTCAATGGGTTCCAAATCCAGGCAAGAAGACGAAGGTCAGACACATTGACGGTGACAAGCTCAACAACCGTAAGGAGAACCTCGAGTGGTTCTAAGAGTAAAAAAATTTTATTTTAGGGGGAAAACCCCAAGTAAATTTAGGTGTTTATTTGGATAAGTATGTTTAAATTAAGGGTAATTTGCAAAATTAGTTCCCGACCTTTGAATTGGGCTCTTTCGTTATCCCAGTTGCGTAGGAGGTCGTCCCAGAGGAGTTGGTAGAATTGCCAATCCAAGGACGATTTGTCCTCCCAGGCATTGAGGATGTACTGCTCGTAGAGTTTCATGACCTCTGCCTTGCACCAGACACCCTCTCCCTTGGAACGTAAGGCTTCTTCGAAGTGCTCGAATGCGATTGGCTGCGTGACCATCCGAAATGACACTTTTTGTCCGTTTGGTCAATGTTTGTGTCTCGTGCCATAGTCGACGAAAATACAGACAAACAGGTTATATATGAGTTTGAGACCAAGAATGGTGTAACTCGACCTGTCCGATTCAAAGACTCCGAGGGCGACCATGAAATTAAACGGAAATTAGCTAGGAAGGAATATAAAATGGACTGGTTGCCACCACCTCCACCTCCACCACCTTTACCTGTTCCTCAAGTAAATAAGCCTTTCCCGTTCCCAAGAATTCCCACATTTTAATTCAAATTCGAATAAAAATTTTTTATTTCATGCAATGTTTTATTTTTGTGCCGTCTTCAAGTATGCCCCAGTACTTACGCTTGGAGAGGACATGAACTTCGGTGAAAATTTTGTCCAATTTGAATTGACCCATCTTTTCACCGACCATTCCCATTTCAATGAGTTTGTTGTACCCTTCTTCGTTCGTCATGAGTGCGTCAATGTTCTCATAGTAAACCACAACTTTCGATTTGACTTCGGAGAAGAATTTGTTGTAGTTGTCAAGGACTGCCTTTGCGAACTGAGGGTAAGACCAATGTTCGACAATAGGTTTTAATGTGGTTACTAAGCCACTTTGACCTTGAGTGAATTCGTACTTCAAAACAAAAGGAGAAAACCTTTCAACAAAGTTGTCGACCTTCTCATAATGTTTACTCTTCATCTCTTGAGGTTTCTTAATGGAATATCCCCATGTCGAATTCATAAGCAATTTGAGTGTCATTGCAAGTTTGGGGTTTGAAGCTTTCCTAATATCATACAGTTGTTGTATGACTTTTCCAACTGTATAGTTCCTTCCCGGGAACTCACCATCTTCGTTTGGAATTCCAGTCGGAATATATTGGACAAACCTCATGTATGCAGCGTTAAGGTCGACATAGTATATCTTTTCATCTGAGTCGAACTTGTCGCAACCAATTGGTCCAGTTTGTGGAAATTCAAGTGAGTCTCTTATCTTCTGAGAAACTTCTCCTGTTATCTCATAAACATCGTCGAAGCAACCTGTTTCATATAAAACCTTCTGACCTAACTCAGATGCTCTCCAATACAATTTGACGTCAATTGGATGTCTCAATGGAAGTTTGTTTATAGCATCTTGAAGTTCTTGCAACCTCATTGGAAGTTCTTCTGGTTCAGGTTGGTATCCGAACAATCCAACTCCTTTTGGAATTGTGTACTTCTTTTGTACTAGAACTTTGTCTGGAACAACTTTTGGTCTTGCTAACAGTGAAAAGTTTGTTTCGTCTTTTGGTACAAAAGTTTCTGTCAGCTTGTCATCTGGAATTGGTTCCAACAAACCTTTCTCGAAAAGAATGTTTACAGCTCTGACAATGTTGCACTTGCCTTTTCCGAACAATGGGTTTGTAAGACTTTCGTTCAACATGAAGTGGTTGTGGACAATTACAATCTTCAACCATGGTAAATTGAACTCAACAACATAGTCGTCATGTGAAGAACCTTTAGCTGTAGGTATGTTGACTCGGATATTGACATTTGCCAACGGTGCAATTTTTGCCAATTGACCTCTGAGAATGTACCTTGTCTTCACACATGACTCAAGATACTTCATCTTCTCATCTGTAACAAGACCAGAGTTCCTGAGACATGTAAGAATGCAAGGTTCATTGACAATTGTTTCAATTGAATTGTAAATTCCATACCTTGTCAAGTCAATGTCAGACTTATTTATGAACGGAAAGTATCCAGCATGTTGTCTGACTGCTTGAGGGTTAGGTTGGTACCATTCGAACTTGACACTTGCAATTCCTTCAATTGCATTCAAAATGTCTGAGTCGGAGTCAACCATTTGTTCTCTCTTTGTAGTCTTGAAAGCGTCAAGAAGCATTGCAGCTGTTGTGACATTGCCATGTGCATAGTAAATGTGACCATCCAAATCTGTTATGGTCAATCTGAGATTGTATCCTTTCTTATTTCCGTCTTGAATTGCAGCAAGTACACCCATGAAGCCTTCTTTGTTCTTTCCTTCGTCAAAGTTTACTGTAAAGGTTCGACCAGATGTAATTTGACTTCTAACTTCACGATACTTTCATATGCATATCTTGTTCTTTCCATGGGAGCATGACCATCCTCTGCACTACCTTTTTTCCTTCTCAAAGGATGCAATTGTTCGTCATGTTTCCAGTAGAATCTGGCAAAGCCGTCGTGTCCTTCAACTTGAGGTTCACTAACATCGAAAGGCATGTCCATAAGACTTCTTCTTCTAACCTCTCTAGTCTGTTTGGATAATTTGCACGTGCTGTTTCCAAATCCATTTCGTAGCGAAGACCAGCCAGTTTGTCATAGACTTTTATGGGTCTTCCCTTCCTATATTTAAACTTCTTCGAAACTCTCCAACCATATCTTTGCAACTCTGCTTTTATTCTAGCAGATTTTCTATCCATTCTATATGGGGGCATTTTTTAAAAATAAAAAAATATTTTTTTCTTTACTTTACATAACCGCCTGCTGCCATAAGTCTTTGACGCCAACCCATACCAGCTAATGAAGGTTGACTTGGTTTAGTTTCCAAACTAAACTTTGGTTTTGGTTTATCTTTCAGTTTTTGGTTTTTCTTCTTCTATCGGTTTTTCGTCACTTTTCGGTTCCTCTGACTTTACCTCACCTGCAGGAACAGTTGTGTCGTCAA